TACGTACAAACTGCACAACTTTTTATATTAAAGAATTAGCACTACGATCTGACGCCATACGCTGTAAATTCAGTCGATAAAACAGATTCAGTTTAGGATCCCCTTAAGCGATACAGAAAAAGCAGCAAAGGGATAAGAAGGCTGCTTGCTCGCGATAATGATTCTCACGGCGGTGTAACGCAGCGAACAGCAGCACGTGATACAAAGAAAGCATGTGATACAGAAAATCAAGACAGACATCTACTCGTTCAATTAATAGTAATATCTTTTTCGTGACAGAAAGAAATGAGAGCGCTATTATTTCCTTATTTCCTCGCGGATAGCAACCTTCTCAATCTTCTCAGTTGCTTTTTCCGTACCGCCGAATATCAGCTGATCGCAAGAAGCTGTCACACGTCGCGCTTGCTTGTTTACTTCATCTCTCGTTGCTAGGACGTTGAATGAAATAAGCCATCTTTCTTTACAGCTGATAAGCGTATATGTCTACAGAGTCCGGATTAACTCTTCTCGCGTGCTCATTGGATCACATTTATTAATTAACTATATATATATTAACTATATATATATAGTGTGTACGTGCGTGCGTGCGTGCGTGCGCGCGTGTGTATTCATTTCGCAATAAACATCCAGCATAAGGCTCAATTACCTTTAAATTGTTGTTAGTTTTAAAACTTATGAAAGTGAATTTCTCCACTTGTTAAAAAAAATCTTGTTCTATTACCTCGGAAAAGGATTCTACAGAGAGACGAGTTGAGAGTTTTTCTTCATCTGCTGTAGATAATGGTGGCACATAATCTTCATCATCAGATGTCAGACCTAATTCATCACCGTAACAAGCATGTACAAGCTGCCACATTTCAGCCATGTTCATTGGCTAAAAATATAAGAGATTTGTCCAATTAAAAAAAGCACAAATTTTTTCACATTAAAAAAAATATTTTTAAGAACCTTAAGTTTTTGAGAAAAAGAGTTTACAATATAACAAAATAATATTTCCTAAAATTTTCTTTGCAGAAATGTATATCTTAAGGATATCCTTTTCTTCAGAAAAAGAAATAAGAAATTTCAAGTTGTATATAACTATGCATACCTCGCCAATGAGAGCATTTTGCCAAACACGAAATAACATCACATATGTTTTATCTCTTGCTCCAAACGATGTTAGGAAGAACTTGTCAGTAACGGTGCATATCAGGATAGCATTTGGAATAACAAGCGCGGTTTTCTCTTTGGTAATAGATGTAACATCTTTCCAACGTAACGAGACCAATGTCTCCCACATAAATATATTAGCATAAAAACACACATAGTTTTGAGATACATAGAGTCTACCGTGTACTAATATTTCACGCTGCAGAGCACAAGAATAATCTAAAAGTTATAACGCTAAATTATTTCAATAGAATGTTAAACGTAAAAAATTGAAAATTCAGTTTACATTACATGTAAAAGTAAATACATATGTAAAAAACAACTAGTTGGTTTAGTAAAAGTGATTTACACAGAATAAAATATAATATGATATAATAGTCTCGCAATATAAGTTTATCGAAGAAGCTATATAAATTGAACTAACTCTTATCAATCAGGTACCTTTTTAACTAATGCTGTTCATACTTGCATAGCTTTCATCATATGCAAACTAATATTCCATATCACTTACATGTGATACAAAAGAATCATTACTAATAGATTAGACACTTGAAAGTATATATAAAGTGAAATTTTTTTACAATGAATATTTATGTTAATAACATTACATTATACATATATCTATTTACTGATTGTATTAGTGTCACCTTGAATAGCGCCGCCAGGATCAGATCAAGGTTACATCGATGTTTTTAAATGAAAATAATGTTTTTAAATGGAATAGAAACTCCCTATTTTTTTATTGCTGATTCCTATTTACTTTATTCAAGAGTTTTCCTATTTACTTTATTCAAGAGTTTTCCAAAACACTAAAATTAAGTTTATTTTCATTAAATAGTTTTTGAGTTATAAAAGTTTAATATTAGAATAAGACCGCCGGTACTTTTTCTACAAAGATAATTTCGATCAAAATGAATTTTGTGAGCTCATGCAGAGAATTGACAAAAAACTTAACTTCTTATTCAACATAGTTGTTTTTAGATAAAGCAACATTCAAAATGAATGATAATATCAATAGATAATGCCAATACCGGCGATACTCTAATATATTCAACCCTTATAAATAAAAAAGTACTTAATAAAAATAAACTTTATTATAGTGTTTTGGAAAGCTCTTAAATTATACTATAAGAATCTGCAATAAAAAATAGTGTTTCCATTTATAAAATTCAAGGTGACCTTGTCCAGACCTTGACGATGTCATTCAAGGTCACACTGATACAATCAGTAAATAGAACCTTTTAAACTCTACAACTTTTATCTGAGACATTTTTTTGTAAAATGCCTAGTTTTCGAGATTTTTACCGGTACTTTTTATACACCCTGTATATATTGGTTATATATATTTGTACATTATATGTACATATACACACAAATATACACAAGTATTCCTACAATAAAACCAATACTTTGCTAGCATGTGTCCAAGAAAGTACACTAAGCAAAAAAAGTTATAGAAATCATGGATTCATGATTTATTTGCAAAAACACTATATACGTGTATACATGTATAGAAAAAAAAAACATTCTTAAATCACTACCTACCTACCACCAATCTTTCATCATCTGGTACATTTTTAAATATTCGCTTGAAGTCCTCAGACCGAGACTTATAAGTTGGATAAAGTACATTATACCAGGATGATTTTTTTTTACTCCGATCACTACTGCGTGTCTCTTTTTTACCTTCATGAGTAGAACTCTTGCTAAGCTCAGCTGAATCAGATGATCTATTTATCACTTCCTGTATATTTATATCAAATATATATAATTCTTTTGACCAGAATATTTTAGTTATTCTCTTCAACACAAGAGACCTCAATATGTACCTGAGACTGATCTTCTAGCTTATTAGCACGACCTGAATCTTTAACAGCATCTTTTACAGCAAAGTCAGAATTTAATCTAGAATATTCTCGTCTGGAATGAGCTCTTGGACTAGGACGTGGAGACAAGTTGGGACTGGATACAGGACTACTACGATCAATACCAGAACCAACAGTTGTCTCTTGTACATTATCTACTGTTGCATTTCCTAAGTTTGCCATTGTATTTTGATTACTCAAGCCTGAAGAATTGATACTACTAATTACTTCATGGCTAGATATCAATAAATTTTCCACTGATTTATTCCTAATAAAAATAGAAATGTGATAAACATTTTATGTGTATATACATATATATCTTACATTTTTTATATATGAAAATAATCAGTCAATATACATACATATTTGATACCAGACGTTTTTGTACAGGCTCCTTGTCAAAAGGCATATTAAATTACAGAATATTATCCACGCTTTTGGAACTGTCAAACATTGGAAGTTTTGATAAAGTTTTAATAACATAACTAAATCAAGAAATAAATGTTATGTTGCAACTCTATCGCCCAATTTCTTCACCTTCAGATAAGTTCTTGATAACTTTATCTAAAAGATAAAATATATCTTTTTGTATATCTTTCCTCTTATTTTCTTATTCAGAGGATAGCTATTAAGTGATATGAAGAAAACGGGCCTATGTAGTGAATAGCATATTCTAACATACATGAGATGATTGATAAGTATCCAAAACAACTTATAGCAACAATAGTATCATTTTGCTATTATAACATTGATAAATTCTATCTTTCACAAAAACAAATATCAAACACTATCACATGTATTACAGTGTTTGTGAAAAAGCTTGCCAAAGTATAGCTATGTACGCATTGATGATTGATCTCATTGTTTAACATTTGTTTCTGTCGAGCTATTTCGTCAGATTTGGGAATAAATGGAAATCGTATGGAGCCGTATAAGGCAGGTAAGACAGTAATTCAAAGCCCAATTCGTAAATCTTATATATTACAACAGTTAAAATATGAGCTGGTATATAGCTTGAATCACTAAGCATCTACTTTAACGAGCTGTCACAAACACTACGTGAGATAATGAGCCAGCGTTTGACATTTGTTCCTCTAAAGAATAAAATTTCAACCTACCAGCACAATATGATACTGTCGCTATCTATGACTTGTTTTGGGTTTATCAATCACCTGTATAAGCAATGTTTGTGCAATAATATACATTTAATTCGCAAACCAAGAGTTTATCCACATGAACATGAGTACTTGCGTCTACCGCAACAGGAATGATACATTCAGAAAAAGAGCAGTTGTGCGTCACAGAATCAATCATCACTTGTTTCGTGTGTCACAAGAGCGTAACATCAGGTAATCAATCTTTGTTATCATGAATTTCATATTATTTATATTAAACTCTTTCTGTTATACCACAAAACCGCTATCGAACTAGTCATTCAGGGGTTTGTTCTTTTTCAACACATCAGGACTGGGAGTCGATTCTGTATCACGCAGTGCAGTGAAAATTACAAAAGCGAATTTACTAAAATATCTATGATCTTATTGGTCAACAACTAGTAAATTTGCTCACTTTTGTAAGTTTCACTGCATGGATACAGAATCGACCCTCTGAATTTGAAAAGGTAACGGTTGTTTTTCAGCAACGAACACAGACGACACAAAGGGAGCTTTCCAGCTACGTACAGAGAGAAGCCTGAAGCCTCTTGCACAATGGACGGAATAGCGATAGCGATAGAAATAACAAAAGTTTTAAGCCCCTTACACAATGGAAGGAATAGCGATAGCGATAGAAATAACACACTTTTTAACACAAAATTCCAACTCGTCGGAAATTTTATCGCTATTGCTTATTCCGATTTTCTGATCTGCATTGATACATGTGTAGTTTTGTATGTTAGATTGCGCTGTTCCTACCTTTATTTTTAAATATAAACTCTTTAAAACTTTTGTTACTTCTATCGCTATCGCTATTCCGTCCATTGTGCAAGGGGCTTTAAAGAGTTTATATTTAAAAATAAAGGTAGGAACAGCGGAATCTACCATACAAAACTACACATGTATCAATGCAGATCAGAAAATCGGAATAAGCAATAGCGATAAAATTTTCGACGAGTTGGAATTCTTTGTTAAAAACTGTGTTATTTCTATCGCTATCGCTATTCCTTCCATTGTGCAAGGAGCTTGAGAGCGGCCATGCCATTGTAATTTCTTAAGTCTATGTCACACTATGGATTGGGATTGAGATTGGATTGAAATTTGACCAACCAGAAAAAAGAAAACCAATTCTAAGTTTAGTGATCTTTGCTCTGATTGGCCAAATTGCAATCCAATCTCAATTCTAATCCGTAGTGTGACATAGGCTTTACGACGGTTTCAACCGCTGGTTTTAGCCGTATTTCCACAAAAGTGGAACTCAAAGGCCGTTCTCCATGAAACTCAAGTCGCAAATCTCGTGGAACTGATCAATCACGTTGGTCGATTGGCTGATTTGACTCTGCAATTGGTCAATTACACGAGATCTGCTACTTGCGTTTAATGTAGAACGGTCTTTGAGTTCCACTTTTGTGAAAATACGGCTAAAACCAGCGATTGAAACCGTCGTAAGAAACTACAATGGCATGGCCGCTCTCAGGCTTCTCTCTGGTACCGGAGTGAAACCGAATTAATGGTTTCGGTGGAAACTAGACCAGTGTCGCTTGTGTACGTAGCTGAAAAGCTCCAAAGTCACACAATATTTGACCATAGATTTATATAGGCTGCTTTCCTTTTAAAAGACACAGGTCTAGTTTCCACCGAAACATTAATTCACACCTAATGCGACGTAGAATCAAATTTAAGTCGATGGAAACCTGTCAAATTGCGCTGATTTCGCTTTCGCTTCGATCTATAAGTACTCTACTTCCAATGGAAACGGAACACTAAATTTAATCCGTACCGGAGTGAAACCGAATTGAGAGTTTCGGTGGAAACTAGACCACAGTCAACATAAGTCGACACAGAGAGAAGCCTGAGAGCGGCCACGGCCATAAGAGTTTCTGTCATAGCTTTCGTGGACATGGTTCTATTCCGTGCTAAGTTTGTGGACATGGTTCTATTCCGTGCTATGAGAACACCGACGTGGTGGGGATACGCACACAAGCGAGAACCGTCGTCATACATCAACATAATATGTCTGCACACTTCCACGAGCGCACGCGGACAACGGTCTCGCTTGTGCGCGTATCCCCACCACGTCGGTGTTTTCATAGCACGGAATAGAACCATGTCCACGAAAAGCTATGACAGAAACTCTTATGCATATATGTAATACTCCTATATTGCTAGGCGCCTTTGACTATATAAGTATGGACTGCTAGTTCCCCCCACTTTTCCCATTTAAGCAATGTATAAGCAGCGTAGGTAACATAGATAAGAAATAGGCACCGCCTTTGGGCCAAAAAGCGGGAAATTCAAATATAGTTCGAGAAAGTAAGT